TGAAATATTATTTACTTGCCCGTGATTGAAAAAGATCCCATTAGAACAATTAGTGCGAACAGATATGTTTTCCACTGTGTGATTTTTCCAGCTGGTTAATTTTTGTTCCTCTGCAGGTAGGAAATGTGCTTCTTTAGCAGTATCTGTGTGGATTTTGCGTTACCTTTTTTGTTTCCGCAGGTACAAAGCAGTAATTGATGCCTGTTCCCTCCAGCCTGATATTGACATTCTCCCTCATGGAGACCAAACCCAGATTGGAGAGAGGGTCAGTAAACAGCTAGAGGCTTCTATTTTTGTTTTAAATATAGAGAGGGGGTTTTATTATTTTGTTGTGTTTTTATAATCTTACCGGTTATTTGCCAACAAAGGTAATGTTTTAGTTAAGTGTACGTTTGGGTCATTAGTCTGAAAGCTTATTGCTCAGTAAACATGGAAACACTGTCGTTTATGTGAGATGCAATGATTCAAATGTGCTGCTATCAGAATGTTTGACTAATTCTGTGGCCGCTATCTCAGATATCCTGACTTCACAGTGCATTTTTTTGTTTCTTTAGGAGTAACATAAAAATAAATAATTAATAGATTTTTACAGCTCCTTCATTTGAAAAAGGGCAGGTGTTTAATCAACAGCAAGCTAAAATTTATCACATCAGGACAGATTAGGGAGTGACAAGACAGGAAACAGAAGTTACAAATTTGAAAACAATTTACTCTGGCACATACTAGCATGGTCACAAACAAACAAAAACCCCAAATTCCCAACAAACCACCCCACACAAGGATGCATTTGAGGATACATTTCCATGCCTAGTCTCCACACTGGTTACCATGTTAATTTTAAATGGATTAGCTCCTAACCCAATTAATGTAGCCAAACAGATGGGTTTTAGACAGGAGGAGGGAAGTGGAGGGGAGGGAGAAGGTCAGGTAGTGTCTTTTGGCAGCAGTACTGGCTTGTGAGAGCTTAAGGTGTTTGTGAAGGTGCAGGTGGATCGCAGGAAGGATGAGTAATCTAGAAGCAGGGTGGTAGCAGGGGGTGAAGGGCTGAAAACAAGTACAATAGCAACCATGTAATGTTCATCTCAGCATGGTCTGATCTCCCAGCTAGCAAGTACTGATTACAGTATATAATAAAGCTGATACAGTATGACAGCATATGATTATTAAAAAACCCCAAAAACCAGGACACAGCCAGACTCATAAAGCTCACTTTTGAGTAGAAATCTAGTTTCGACTGCCTGCAGAATATGCCACCTACATCATTATGTCACCACAAACCATTAAACATTTCCCATCCCTCTGGTATGTATGGAGTAGAGCTCTGGACAGAGTGCTCTGGCTTTTCTAACAATTTGTGTACTGTGTTCCCAGCTGAATTGTGAGCCTACACTTTTGAAAAATTTCTTTGGGTTTCTTTGTCCAGAAAGTCTTCTGTGGATAATCCAATCAGAATATAAATATTCAGTTGATGTTTTCGTAACTGATATCTTTTTTTCTCCTGCTTGTCTCCAGGGTATTAATCTGTCTGGAGGGCAGCGCCAGCGTATCAGTGTGGCAAGAGCACTTTACCAGCAGACAAATGTTGTGTTCCTGGTGAGTAGGTGCCATTATTTTTTATGCTCCAAAACAGAAGCACGAGATGCAAGCATTTAGAGTATTTCGTGGGTAACATGCACAGAACACTGTGCTTCACCGTGCTAAGCCAAATGAGCACTGTTCATTTTATATCAGTTGTTAGCTAGCTTGCAGGTAAGGAGCATTTTCTAAGTGTTGCTGGCACACAGATAGGCATTAGCATACAAATTGAAATGCTGATGTTTCCCCTCTCAGTCTGTTGAAATTTCTTTTTAACCCTTGTATTTATCTGTGGTACTTAGAAATTTAATAGTCTCAGCCATATTCATGAAATTCCTAAGCTGTCTCAGGCCTAAAATTAATGTTGCCCTGTGTCTGGGGTGTTTCCTTTCTACAACAAACTTAAGCTGTCTTCCCACCCTGAACTGCTTGTTGTATATCCTGTCCCAACCTCAACAGAAGTGCTATGGAAAAAGGAGTGAGAGCAGGCTCTAAATCTTAGTAGGTGGGAAAACAGATGCATCCTACACACTCACTAGTAGTGAGCTTGCTGGATTTCCAATTTAGGATTTCTTTCTTAAACTCAGTTTTCAAGGAGCTTTGAATCCAGCTGTTACAACAGCAAGACATTAGTCACATGGGATTAGAAAAACTGTGCACATGGGATTAGAAAAGCTGTGCACATTAGAGGTCATCCCTAAAAGTCTGGGAGGTTACTTAGACCTTTCCCTGTAATTAGGCTGATCAGTATGTGCTTGTAATCCCTGTAATTAGGCTGATCTAATCCCTGTAATTAGGCTGATCAGTATGTGATCAGTATGTGCTTCATGTGTAGGGCATTTCCAGGCAATGACCAAAATGCAGGAGAGTAAGGAGCAGTTGGGCCAGGTGCTGCAAATCAGCAGATCCAGTATTGGGCTGTAACTTGGTTTTGTCACTTTTGTGCAGGACACTCAATCTAACAGTAGCAGGTTCTCTGTGGTTTGATAATGTAAAAGTACTGACAAATAAACTTCTTTCCAGTTATTAATCTTTCAAAAATAATCAGGAATCCTCTAAGTTACTATTTGCAAACACTCTAACAAGCATGCACCTCATATTCAGTAACCTTTTGTATCCTCTAAACTCCTTGTGATCATCACAGATATGAAAATAGGTCATACGACAATTCATTACATATTTTATTCTTGATTGCTTTCATACATTCACGCAGCATGTTTTATTTGTCGCATGTCAGACTAGTCCTGTAGCATGAACTGGTTTTTTTTTCAGGTGTCTTGTACTCAGTGCATCATTATAATCACGCATGGTGGGTGCCACCTTAACAGCCAGCCTCGCCTGACTCCACAGTGCGATGTTGTGTTCTGTGACCTGGCATTTACAGTTCGCAGAGGTGCAGCGTTGCATACGAGGTGGCTGGGCACAAACTCGGGGCTCAGAGTGGTGTTTAGGTCTGTGCCAGATAGAAGAGTGCGGCAGTAAAGCTGTCAGCATACGCCCTTGCTCAGTGAGCACAGCGCACACGCAGCTGCACACGCGTTTTTGAGAATAAATTCTGTACCGCAGCCAGAAGTTACTGTGTTTCAGAAGCACTTTTTAAGTGCTCTGTGTTAAGATGCTCTGATTTATTAGAATTTCACAGATCATTTTTATCTTACTGTTAATTTCAGATATTTTTTGTTTTGTAGATACATGAAAGCAACAATACTGAAGTATCTAATGCAGTAACAATATAAATTCTTGCAAGATTGAGGGGAATAAGAGTTCAAAGGGATATTCTAAAGCACTCACCTCTGCTTATGTCTCCCTAATTAACAGGTGGCAATGATGTCACTCAGAGAACAGAATTAATTAAAATTCAGACCTATTTTATCAGAAAGCATCTGCAGAAAAGAAAACAAAATTTTATTTTTAAGAATTGCTGGTTTTAGTGAAATATAATACTTAGTATTATATATACTAAGTATTATATTACACTAAATATAAATATAATACTAAGTAAATCCTACAGCCAGTATCACTGGTGCAAGCAGACAGAATAGATTTGTAATTCCATATGAATAGGATTAGGTAAAGAAGTCCCCCAAAAGATGGTACGGATTAGTTTATGCCTGTATTGGTTGCATGTAAGTCATTGATTCAGTAGGATAATCTAGGTCATAAATCAAGCATCTGAGCAGAGTCATCAAAATGATCAATATTTCTCCTTTTGTGATTCTTTGTTAATAGAGTTTTGATTTGCATTTTTCAAATGGATAAAAAAATAAAAATAAAAATCAGAAGGCAGTTATGTACAAGGGAAATCTAAATGTGCTCGTTGTCGCCGTCCCTGGAGCAGTTCTCTCCTGCGTGCCAGGGACGCCCATCGGGGAATTGTGTCCCAATGCGCTGTGGTTCCGCAGGCTGTGAAACACAGCTGTGGAGGGGGGCCGTCCCCAGAAAGCCCCCCGAAATCACAGCATTGGCACAGCTGGCAGGGCCGGTCTGAGTACTCACTGCAAAAAGACAGTTCAGGTTTGTTGATACGTGATTTAAGAAAAATCATTCCTCAGTTCATTTCTGATCTTCTGCTGGCCTCTTTTGATTGTCCATATTGATCCAACTGGTTTTACCAATATTAAAATCTGTCAGCTTCCATAATTCCTGGAAGTGCTGGCTCCAAAAGCTGACGTCTTTGCTTCATGACAGGATGATCCATTTTCTGCCCTGGATATCCACCTAAGTGACCATCTCATGCAAGAGGGGATCCTGAAAATGCTACGGGAAGACAAGCGGACCATTGTGCTAGTAACACACAAGCTGCAGTACTTACCCCATGCTGACTGGGTAAGAAAGCTCGCTCTGTTTTTTTCTGAGGAAGCAAGAATATGGCACAAATATGTCTTGCTACAAACAAGACTTTTGCTTCATCTTTCCACCAAATGGTAGTTTAGTGAAAAGAGACGTAATCAAGATCTTTTGCAAATTATCCAGTGAGTTTGGGGTGCCATATTTTTGGGATTCCCATCTTAGGACTCTTAAGTAGGTTGGATTTTCATAGAGCTGATACTTAATACTCTCATGAAAGCAGGCAGAGTTTAAAATATATTGAGTATCCAAAAACATCAGTTATATTGGAAAATCTTGCTCAAAACAGTGAAATGTTTGAGTAACATTCATCTCTGCTGGGATGTTACTAGGAATTTGTACTGTCACAAAGAAATTTTTTGGATATTGAGATGCATGGAAATATCTAGAAGGAAAAAGCCAGTATTTCCTTGTGGTTAGGACTAGTCCTTTGAGTCAAGAATGTCTTTAACCTTTGTATGTTGGCAAAACTTGAAGAAAAGTGTAGTAATCAGTTGCTTGTTAGGTTTCTTTGTATATCTTGTAGTTTGCAGAAAAAAAAAAATAAAGGTATGCTTTCTATTAATTGCAAATGTCAAAGATGAAGCAAATCCAGTAGGATAAGGAGGTTTGGTTTTTTGGCTTTTTCTTAGTTCACTGGTTCATACTGGCGTTGCACTTAGTTCTCCTATGGTGGTTTGACTGCAGCATCACAGGTCGTCTTGCCCTTGAGGATTGATGGCTGCAATTATGCCTCCTCACAGGACTTCTCTCTCATTTGCAGCTTACATGGGTGGTAGCAGCAGTTACTCTGTCTCAAGAAATAATTGTATTTGAGCTGCTTTCTGTTCTTCCTGTTGGCTTGCTATAAAGTTGCAGATAGACATTAATCTTGTTCTGATCAGGTTTCTGGTGGGCAGCATTTATCCTTTATGGAGTCTGCTGTGACCTTGACCCTCAACTGTACACCTTTAAGAATTACTATGGTTCTCAACACAGCTCTGGTTTTCTGGCTAGTGTCTCTCAGGATACAGGAATTTTCTGCCTTCTTCCTCTCTCTATGAGGTCCATTTTGGCTTCCTTGTGTTTAGTTGTTATATATTGGCATTTTTTTAAAATACGCACGGCTATGGCCTTGTATCAGTATAATCTTTTTTGTTTTCTTTATGATTGTCAGCCTGATTTGTAGGTGTTCGTGTGTTATGAGATACTCTGAGAAATGTTTGGGGTTTTTTATCTTCTACTTAGGTCTCAGTAATGTTTTATAAAATATACTGTTCCAAACAGCCTGTAAGACAGGAAGGATTTGTATTAATTAAGCTTAAAATTTTTAAGAAATTATTAAGAAATAGTTTGGGTTTTTTTCCTAACCACAAGTCTCATTAAGCCTTAGTAAGTCTCACCCAATGGAGTGCAGCAGGAATATTTATTTTCTTTTATTAAGGTATTTTAAATAAAAATATAATTTGAAGTATATGTGATGGCCCTCCAAGATCTTCACAGCAAAACCCTCAATAGAATTCAAGGTCCAGCCCAATTACAGATTTCCTGAATAAATTGACTACAAGGAGGTCCTTGTTTGCTTTACTTTTTCCTTTCCTCTGGTGTAAATTTTTAGCAATAACTGTAATAGATTATTTCCCCACCCCTCATTCGTGGAAATTTGAGTTTCCAGGGAGAGAGAAAAATAAATACAGCATTAACTGTTTTGTAATGGTGTCACGTGGGTCTACAGTCCACACGCCTCATTTTCCAATTTTCCTTGTCAGATCTAAAGTGAAGGTAGTTATAGTGTGTGTATAAAGTGCTCACACCGATACAAACCTGGAAACCACACCCTTCAGACTTTATCTTGCATATATAATTTTTTTCAAACTGTGTCCACTGTTTATGCTTTTAAAAGCTTTAGGGGATTCAAATTCCCTAGCTTTTCCTTATCAGGTCCATGATATCAAACAGACGGTGGTGCCAGCATGCTCATGTCTAATTGCCTGCATGAGGGCAAAACATGCTGCACTCAGTGTGTTGCTAAAAGCCTTTTCCTTTTAGGAGGTAAGAGAACTCTAAAATCTTATCTTGCTAATGACTTGTATTTCGGAAGAATAATGCACTCTCCCATCTGCTGTCAGGCACCCTGTTCTTCTTCCTTCTTCCTTAAAAGCAGCCTTTCTTTTGGAAAGCGTGAAGTGTAGGAAGTTTCTCTTTCTCCAGCATCTCGAGTAAAGGAGGTAGAGTCAAGAGATAATGTCACTGTCTTTTTAGAAGACAGATCTGTTCACAGAAATATTCTTTATTTAAGGAAAGAAAAAATTCTGTCCAGACACAGCAATGTAGCTTTAAAATCAATACAGATACGTGGCTATTTGTCTCACCACTTGTATATCTCACTTTTTAGATAATCGCAATGAAAGATGGCAACATCCAGAGAGAAGGAACACTCAAGGACATTCAGAAATCAGAGACTGAGCTCTTTGAACACTGGAAGACATTAATGAATCGACAAGACCAAGAGCTGGAGAAGGTTTTTGATGGGCAGGGCAATTGACATTTGCAAAAAATGTGACTTTTTTTTTTTTCTTAGGTTGAAAGCATTAGCAAGGGTTGATACGCTGTGTGTGATTTCTGACTTAGTGTGAATGTAGTATTACTATTACCATTATTATTTATCTATTAAGATAAATTCCTTCATCTGGACATCTCATACTTCCTTGGTACTGTTGCCTCTGATTCATTCTTGATAGGAAGCCCTGTCAAAATCTTCTTGTCTAAGCAATATTAAATTGGGCCATTTTAGAAAAAGCATTGGCAATGTGCAATACTGACAACTGCTTCACTAAATACGCTTGAATTTACTCTTTGCATTGGATAGAAATTTTTCAGATGTGCCTGTATCAAGCTCTCTGAATCATTAACACATTTTGTCTTTGATACTATAACACAGGAAGAACAAGATATTAATCTCAGTTCTTGTTCAGGGATATCTGTCCAAGTTAAGATTCCAAGAGGGTTGGGACTTACAATGTCACACTGTCACAGTGTGACATGTCACAATGAAATTAATGTCAGATATCCGATTTATGTCCTTGGGTTTTACACGGAGGTAGCAAATCAATCACTTCTGACCGCCTGCTGTAAGATTCTCACTTATATTTTTCACTGATTTTCTGACTGGGAACAAATTTTGTCACAACTAGTATTTTTTTAATTAATTCTCTGGTTGAAAACACATGAACTGTCCCTTTTTTAGGAGACTATTATTGAAAGAAAAACTGTTTTGGAAAGAACAAATCTCCGGAGGACTATGTATTCCCGTGAAGCTCTGTTGAAAGATGATGAAGAGGATGAAGGTAAAAGGGCACCCTTTGAGCCCAGTACCACTACATCACTGTTTCGCAGCTATATTAATTCATTCTAATGTAATTTAGTTCAAATGAGCAAGATAATAATAATTTTTCAGGTAGGTTGTGATTCTTAAGAGTGCTATTTCCATTGATTTTTTTTTTTTTTTTTTTTTTTTTTTTTTAACCTCTGGGCTACAGTGATTTCAACCATTCAGAAGTCATAGCTTCCTCCAAACTTTTGAGGATTTTTCTTGTACTTGAACATGATTTGATAATGAAAGAGGAATAATACTGAATAATCTATGCTGGGTGATCTTCAAACCTGTCAATAGCTAAATACACTTGCTTAAGATTTTACAAAAAAAAAAAAAAGGCAATTCATTTTTATCATGTTTTAAATTGCAACAACATGGCTGAAGACATTTATTGCCTAGTGCTGAGGTTTTTTGCATCTTGTTGTCGTGAGTTGCTGCTACCTTAAGTAGGTTAATACATGCATGCCTGAGCAGGTAATTTCACCTTAAAGCCCCTCTATACCCTGTACGATATGACCTGTTTTGTAGCTGCCACTTGCCAGTCCCTGTGCAAGGGGTGTACGAGGAGGTCAGTGTGGCTCTACTGTTTTCTTGCACATTGCAGAAGAAGTAACAGAAAGCGATGATGAAGACAACTTGTCTTCAGTGCTGCACCAGAGAGCGAAGATGCCCTGGAGAGCCTGTGGCAAGTACCTCAGCGCAGCAGGAATCCTCCTCCTGCCGCTGCTGGTGCTGTCCCAGCTGCTGAAGCACACGGTGATGGTGGCCATCGACTACTGGCTGGCGTGCTGGACCTCAGCCGCCATCTCGGAGAAGGCAGAGCCAGAGCTGAAGAACTGCTCTCACTGTGTGGTACGCAATGCCTCCTTCACCTTCCTCCTGTGATTTAACCCCTGACCTCCCACTGTCAACCTCTGCTCCAAGAGTCGCATGCGCTGTGCTATATTTCTAGTAATAGAGCCACTCCAGAGTGTTTTGAAGGTCGATGCATTTTCAAGTACACAGTGCAATAAAGCAGTTAAGTTTTGTGTGGTGGTGTTCTCTTATTGTTGGATTTGTTCTGTTTTCATCATCTCGCTGATAAACCTAAACCTTGGTCTCTAAAGTGATTTTCATATCATAGTTTTTTAAATTTTTCTTGTACTGTTGCATTCTCACTGCAAGTAGGGCTTTCAAGTTTTGTGACATATGGGAAACACAGGTTTGGTTTTGGGGTTTTTTTTATGATCAGTATGCTGCTTTGGTTGATTTTTGTGTGAATTCCCCATGGAACTAACCACAGTGTTACCTGTCAGAGTACTCTGTATGTATAAAGCAGTAGTGGAGGGATTTTGTTAGAAAGGAGTTTGTTTTATTTATTGGGATTTAGTGCCTACAAATAATCTATCTTAATGTTTGGGAGGTGCATGTATGATTTCACTGGATTCGTGCTTCCAACATCTGAAAGATGCTTTAGGGTTTTAACACAAAATTAATATTTCAAAATAAAAAAATATTCTGCTCTGTTCCTATTTAAAAAATAGACCAAAACAACAAAGCCATAATAAATGCTTTGAAGATGGGTTTTTCCTTCAGATGAAATTATCAAATATATCTTTTCCAGGTTTTTTGGAGTAATTTATGATTGTAAATGTCTGTTTAATCTCTTATTTTCATGCAAACACTCCCCTCTCCAAAGGATAATAAACTGTGGTTTAAGATGGCTGAAAATCATTGGCAGTTGCAGTTTAATCTAAGGAGGCAAAAGGGATTTACTCCTTACATTTTTGCAGTCCCGTGTTTGTGTTCTTACAACAAATTTTAAACATAATTTACAGTGAATAATTTTGTTACTCTTTCTTTGTTTCTTAGGATTTCAACCATTCTCCATATTCAAAAGTTTTCAGCATTCTCTGCTGTCTTGGCATTGTATTATGTCTTGTCACATCAATAGCGGTGGAGTGGACGGGCTTGAAAGTCACCAAAAAGCTACACTCTTCTTTACTAAATAAAATTATTTTGGCTCCAATGAGGTATTCCTCTGACTGTAATACAAATCGTATTGTAGTAATTTTGTGTTTCTTAGCTCAAGGCAGTCTTCTAAGAACAGTTTTTATTTAGTGACTGTGAATCACATTTTTTTTTTTAATGTGATTTTGAAAATCAGCAGGTATCAAACTACTGAGCATGTTTTGAAAATGGTGCACAGGCTGCTCAGGTTCCTAGACATTAGTCAAATGCCTCTCCTGCCTGACTGCGACTTTAGAGATTTGCTTCCTTGCATGTTTAATTTCTCTTTGCTGTTTTTAATTAGGAAGAAAACACAATTATCAATCAATATGTTGTACAGTTCATTCATAGCATGCATCATAATCTTAATCACTGGAAATATTTACTGTCAGGCAGCAATTCTGCAAGCCTATAAAAGATGATGAGCTTCATCACAGGCATCATTAGAGTACGCCAGGATGCACAGATACCGGTAGAGGCCTTTGTTGTCCTGCATAAGTGCTCTTTCTAATGCATGAAAGTAAAGTTGTGGCTTGATTCATATCTGCAGCTGTTACTGAACATTGGGAAAAATACTTTCTTATCTTTAAGCTAACTGTATTTGACCCAGAAATCATGGAGAAATTATACACAGGGAAAACCTCAGATAGTTTTGTAAAAACTTTTTTTTTGTTCAGATAGAATTAGACTTCAGGTTCACCATGAGTTATGGAACAATGGGCAGTTACAGAGCAATAATGAAGTTTTCATTTTGCATATGCAAATATAAAGGAAAGGTCTTTTCACATATTATTCCGACTGTTCTTAGTTTTGCATTTCTGTTCCCAGAAAGATGCATGACTTGCGATTTAACTTTGCATTTTTCATGAATTAAAAAGGCCTTAAATAGCAAATCTGGAAGGACTTTGGAAAATGTAATCATGTGATTTGCATAGCTTAGGCAGCAGAGGGAGCTGATGACATGTTTGCTGTGGGTTACATTCAGGACTGCCATTTTATTGAAAAGCCATGGTTACAGGGCAAAATGAGAAACTTTACTGTAGTTGTCAATCTCTTTGCTTCTGTCTGTAATACACTACCTAGCTTAAGGAAGACATTAAAAAAAATTTGACAGTATTCTAATATCAGTATTATCATCTCTCCCATTCCTTGTCTCATTTTAGGTTTTTTGAAACGACTCCTCTGGGAAGTATACTGAACAGATTTTCAGCTGACTGCAATACCATCGACCAGGTACTGAATAAATATGTTCAAGCTGCCAAGTTATCCTATCCTTGCTAGTCTGAAAGACTGGATTTTCATTTCTTGTACTCGTTTAGATGAAGTTTACAGATGATCTATAATTTTGATTGCTATATCAACTTCCCTCACGATTTTCTAGGCTCAGAATTAATTCCTTGTCTTAAATGCACGTTGAAAAGCCATTTATTTGATTTCAGATGCCCTGTACAGAAAAGGGGAGCGAAATTAGATCAACAGTGATATCCCCAAATTAAGAGGATCTACTTTTTTTAAAAAAGTGGGTAAAGGCACATATGAGCAAATGAAATGAAAAAAAGGCAAGTGCAATGAAAAAAAGTCAAATGCTGTTTCCCAAAATAGAAATGACTGAAATTCAGATTATTAGTATTTACCCCAGACTGCACAGTTCATAGGATCAATGCAGATGCTGAAATCATCTGTTGCATCCCATCTGTAATCCTTTGACGTGAGGGCTGTGGTCCACAATGCAGACATGGGAAGCAGCCTCACAGAAATCCCTTCAGAGTTTCCCAAAACCCAGCAGTCAGTTCAAAAGCAGACTGATACACTTAGTGCTTCAAATCCTCAGTTATTTTTTCCTGTTTAAATGTGGGAGAGGAAAATGAAATAATGCTGGTTTAAACTTGGTAATTTATGGAAGAATCTGTGTGCTTGTTCTCCTTTATCTGTGCAGCACATTCCAGCTACCCTGGAGTGCCTGAGTCGCTCCACTCTGCTGTGTGTATCTGCTCTTGCTGTCATCTCATACGTCACACCAATGTTTCTCATTGCCCTGGTTCCCCTCGCAATCATGTGTTACTTCATCCAGAAGTACTTCCGAGTCGCATCACGGTAAGAGCATAAACCAGTGTCGTTCTGGCAATAGAAAAGCCTTCTGGAGTACATAATTGCATTGCAGAATTGCAGTGCTGGGGAACTTCATGTTTAAATTTGGTCCCGTCAAAGCCATAGCCCTGTCTGAAGTGAGCCACGTTCACTGTAGTGAAAATGTGTCATTTTAAAAGCACCTTTGCAGATCTTCTGGGGGGCATGAGCAAGGTCTTTGTCCCTGGTCAGAGATTCTTACAAGTTCACAGGACACAAAAAAACAACTGGATTCTGTCCTCCCAAAGGCTGCATGCTGGGCACGTCCAAGAAAATGAGGTGACAGAACAGAGGAACTGATGTCTGCCCATACAGGTGGAAGCAGGAATCTGTAAAGCCAGGGAGAGCGGGAGAATGCAGTATAACCATGGTGGTACTGCTGCCCATTCCAGTGTGTATGAGCATCTGCTCTTGTTCTAGGTGCCTTTTCGTTTTTAAAAAGCTGAAAACTTTTAGCTATATCTGTGATTTTCCTCCTGCTAAGGTCACAGAGTTTCCCTCTCAGTGGTGCTCAAGAATCACTTGCAGCATTGCAGCGTTTATCCCTTCGTGTATGCATGGATCGAGAGGGAGTCTGCAACCAGTTTACTTTCTGCTGGAAGGAACTGAGACTCAATACTTCACCCCACACATGCTTCCACTGATTTGATGACTGAACCGAGATTGAGAAGCACAGCCTAATGAGTGCGGGCTCCCATTTACTCTATGGAGCGCATGAGCTATACTGTTAGCTCAGAGAGAAGTTGTGCTGTCATCGGGGGATGAAGAGGGAAGAGAGAGGAAGTTGCTGTTTGCCTTCTTGAGTTTTGCCTAACTCAAGCTCTTATTTGCAGTATCCCATTAAATTTATATTCAGCATAGAGCCAGAACAATGTTTAACTGAATAAACAATTGAGCATAAGAAATAGGAATAGAGAAGAAATGAGGAAAGGCAGTGAAGGGAAAAGACCTATTCAGAACTCCAGCACTGTTTGTATTCAAATTATAAAAGCTATATACTCTTGGGTTCTTTGTTCCCTGTTCAGGAACATGAAGCACTGCCTCGCAATCTATCTGAACCTTACATATGTAATTATTGTGATCCTTGGGCCTGTTTCAAGAGAATAACTGCACAACAAAACTGGCTTTTTACCAAATTCTTTTCATAACCCTCTCCAGGGACCTGCAGCAACTGGATGACAGCACTCAGCTACCATTACTCTCCCATTTTTCAGAGACTGTTGAAGGTCTTACCACCATCCGAGCCTTCAGGTATAGGTTTTTTTTTGAGAAACATACATTACCTTGCTTTTGAATATCTATCTCCGATTCTGTTCTACAATTGTGTGGTTATGGTTAGTTGGATCACCTGGAAAATCCAGAGTCCCCAAAAACTGGTAAGGGGGAAATCCAAAATATTGAAGAACTTTAAACTTTTTGCGTGTGAAGGGGTTGCCATAGAAAAACAATCTAATGTGTGTCAGCTGCCCTGTGGTAACTCTCCACACGCTTGCACGCAGCCTGAAAAAAAACAAAAAAACAAAAAACCAACAAACTTGTGGGCAAATGAGATTTAAGAAGCTGAATTAGCTTGCAATTACTACAGCATGTGGTGTGGCAGACTATGCACTTGGACAGTTTCCATGGAACGACTAATATGCACTGACTTGTTATGCCAGAGTAATTGCTGTGTGAGTTGATGTCCTGGTAAGATAAAGTGTGCATGCTGGTGGCTTCAGAGGACACAATAAAACCTTAAATTGTTTTTCCAGGTTGCTAGCTGAAAACGTGGTGGTTTATACTGATTTTGAAAATATACAAGCTGGAGACAAAGTTTTTCATCCCCTGCTTTGATTCATTTTTCCATCCACACAAGCTCTCAGGAGCAGCCCAGGAGTACCTGATAAGGTGCCTGGGTGGTGTGTCTGGGTGACGGAAATGGCAGTCACGCTGCCACTGGTAGAGGTACCGGCAAAACTACTGCTGAGCTTCCCAGCCGCCTTCCCCACACTAGTGCTGTCCTTGGCTCTTCCCCCTTGGCTCAAACGTGGCCAACTCTCTTCCACACCCATCTCATCTAGATGTCTACACGTTTTGCCAGTGAATAATTAGTATTCTGTCTTTGAAATGGTAGTGCTTATTCCTCCTAACCTATAATTTTGTAATAGAAGTAATGCACAAAGTTAACTTTTCTTAAACTATTCTAAATAGGATATAAATAGCTTAATGAAAGAATTTATTTATCTATTTAATTTATGAATTTGTTTCTTTTTGACTGAAGATAACTTCTTGAAGAGTGGTAGAAGAGCAGAGTATTTTCCATTATCAATTACTGTTACTGGATATTTAAATCATTAAGAGTCAACAGTGTTCTCTAGTTTGTAGATACGTCTCTGTTGACTTTTAAGGAAATTCAATTTCTCTTTTAATTTTTGCTTTTCTTATTTATCCATATATTCTTCTACTTCATCAAGAGAATCTTTAGAGTATTATGGCTGTATATTCTCAGGTGTTGATACAGTAAATAATATTCAGTGTGATCTAGCTAATATTTTCAGTCTTTTGGAACATTTCATCTTGATTCTTCCTGTCACCTTGAAATATCTTCCTCTATCACAGGATTGTGTTTGGTGCCTTCTTTTTTGTAAATCTGCAGCCGTTGATGTGTCTCTGACCCAGACAGCCATGTGTGTTCAAGTTCTGTATTCCTCCTGCCTGCCAGCCTCTCACATCAGCTGGTAACCTAGCTATTTTTAGAACTGTGTAGCTTTTCAGCTGCCTAACATATTACCAGGAGTAGAGTTTAGACTTGCTAGCTTGAGCATCCCTAAAAATAACACAAATTCAGGAATCCAGTCATTAAGTTAGGTGCCAGTTGCTCCTGGAGTGTCCTTACCCTTGGTAATTCTCCATCCTGCACTTACTCAGAATGCATATGGAAAAATGTACCAAAAAAATCCAGGGGGAAACCAGAAAGACAGCTACTGCTGCAGCTATAAATACACCTTCAACAGATGTCCTGGCCTGATTTATAGTTTGCTGTCTGGCACTTCAGATAGCGTTGGTGTTAAATAATCAATAAAATGTAAATGTGAAGGCTTCTGCAAAGACTAGTCTGTATTCTGAGAGGCCTGGTAATCTGGGGACACTTTGTAAAGAGAAATTCTGGTATTTCTGCAGTACTCCACCAACAGTGGTAACTTTGTCTGCATCCCAGTCCATGTGCATAGGCATGACTGGCTCATGGTGCACACCTCACATCTTCTAAGGTGTGTCTGCATCACATCATACCTCACGGTATGGAGATACAAAAGATAAACGGGACTGAGTTGGGTCCAGGAGCAGGACAGCCATCTCTGAGGGTAGGGCACGGGGGGTAATCAGCCCGAGGAAAGGCAGGGCTCAGGAGCCCGGGCACTGCCTGACCTAGGCTGGCTCTGGGGCACACCCGCTGTAGGCTGTGCCAGCTCACCCACACGCTCGGAGCCAGCCCAGCCCCTTCCCCGTTGCACACAGCAGACACGTCTCTTGCGTCTCGGCACATTGGCTAAGTTGTGGACAGCTAAATTATTTCCACAAAGTGGTACTTATTTCTTATCCTCAAAGGCTAAATGATTTATGTAGTCATAACTTTATTACACTGTACTCAGAAGAAGAATTAAGATACTCTGCAGAAAAAAAAAATAAATTTGAAAGCTTCTCTAAGCTGTGTACTTTGCACTGAAACAAATATCCTATCTTTCGTATCAGTATAAGGAGGGCTGAGTTTATAAATAAGTGGTGCTTGTTGCAGCCATCATAGTTAAGGATATAAATAGGGCAAAGTTTTATAGGGGATATTAGTAGGTTGGTTAAACTTGCTGATGTAATAAAGCAGGGGGAAAAGGCAAGATTTGGGTGCTTAAACTAGATCTTCAGGGCTTGAAGCTTCTGTTAATACCATGGAAAAGGCTCTTGTGCCAGACTTCTCCTTTATTATTAGACATAATTGTTGCTATGCTTTATTGTTAACATCACATTAATTTACACCTGTGCAAATAAATACACCCAGCTGAAAGGGGTGACTGCCTGACTTGGGTGCTTGCCAAGAGCCCGGTCTGAATAGGTGCAGCAGGGAATCATCTGCCAAATCTGCCGAATTCAAGGCAGAATTCATTGTTGCAGCTCTGCTGATGAGTGGGTGCAGATCCATTGTAATAAACTGTAAACAGACCTATTTGTCATTAACCTTATTTTGTATTCTGTGGCTAATTCATTTAGGGGCTGGGGGGGGAGCACAGTTCTCTCCAGCCTGTTACTTTTTGTTGCATCATGTGCTTGAACTTTTGTTTTCCAAAGTGCTCCATTTAAGTGATAAGGACAAACATGTTTGTCAAACACTGGAGCTACAATGACTGGAGGTACTTTGAATTTATACTTTATAAATGGGTACAATTTCTAGGCACTGCAGTAGTAGAAATTTTAGAACTTGAGCTCATATTATTAACTGAGAATAACTGTGTTCTGCTGCATTAATAGTTCTTTTCAGAAGTACAGGCACGTACTATTCCTCTCTCATATATATTTTTATTTTTTTAGATTCAGAATTGTCTCTCTTAGAGTTACCACGTAATAAAATACATTTAGAAAATGCCCAGTGTGATCCAGAATTCCCATACAGAGTTTCATCAATGCAACAACATTCATTTACTCCTGAAGATACTTTACAAATACAGTTTGCATGTGTCTAGTATGTCTACAGATGTCACTGAATTATTGATAGGCTGATTTAGACCCTGTGTCAAGCTGTCCATGAACACATACCCCCAGAAATTAATTTTTTACATTTTTCCAAGACTCCAAGGCCTGACCCTTTTCTTCTTTTTTTCTTTTTCTTTTATTTCTTAGGTACGAAGCCAAATTTCGACAAAAACTTCTTGAATACACAGATTCCAACAACATTGCTTCCCTTTTCCTTACAGCTGCCAATCGCTGGCTGGAAGTCCGCATGGCAAGTACATTACCTTTGTGTATCCACAGCGAATTTATTTGCTTTAATTCCAAGCAATCTGATGAGGCATCCAACAGTTATCTGGCCTCATCTGGGTTTTGAGGCTGTACCTTTACCTTTTATATCTGTGTCTATCTGTAACAAACACGTGCCCAACCCAACCTGGAAGCTGAATGAGTATGTATTTTCCCCATAGCCTGCAGCTGTTTCTCCCAGACAGGAATAGTTTTTATAGGTCACATTGACTCCTCTGTGTGTGATGAGTGATCAGAGCTGGTCAAGCTGTGCGGCCAGCCAGGATGCCTCTGTGGGACTGTGTGAGTCAGTGTCAGCAGGCCTTTGCCTTGTCACCTCCCAGGAACATTTCAACTTCTTGGAAGCTCTCTTAATAAGCAGAAGGACGTAGACAGGTTTATACCTGTTTTGGGTCATCTGAAGAACACCAAAGCTATTCAGGTGCCTGTTTTCCTTAGGGCACTCAGTAAAGTGGCCTGGCATGAGAAATTATTTATCAAAAATAATTCCTTGAGAAGCAAATCAATGAGTGTTATGTTGTGGACAGTGATGTTTGTATCAGACTTTGTTAGATACAGGTGTAGTGCAGCTGTTGTGGTAACATGGGCTCCTTTTATATGTGCTAAAGTGTGCGTTAACTCATAGTTCATGTCACACTGTATACCTCCATTTAGCTGGTAGCTTTTACTACCTAAATTCAGATATTGAGTATGACTTAAGTAAAATGTTATTACACTTTTATATGTTCACTCCTAGGCCACCTGAAGTCCCTAATTCTGATCAATGCCTATGTCACTAAACAGTACAAATACGAGTGACCATTCCCCTCCTACACAGTTCATTTCCTAGTCTGCCACATAGTTTTACTCAAAGCCTTGTCTGTGGGAAGTCAGTGATTTAAGTTAAAGCAGCAAAAGCCCCTCATGGGTGGACACAGTCCAACTAATAGATACGTGCTGTGCCAGAACAGCTTATTTGCACAAATATGGATGGCAGCCGCTCAGTGGCAACAGCGGAGCCTCCCAGCAGCTCGGCAGCAGCCGCAGAGCGGAGCCGCTCACAGACAGGATCACACGAGCATTTCCCTCCCACCCCAGGTAACACCAGCTGCACGCTTTCAGCCACCCCCATTACATGCTTAAGATACCTGTGTTGACTTCTCCCGAAGAAGATCAGGAGTCTTGGTGCGATTCCTGTGTACAGCAGGTCATTTCTAAACAGCACGTCCATGCTAAAGGCAATGAGGATGGGTTCCTAGGCAGGATCTGTGTGGAGTTCTGTGGTGTTTCCTGCCTGTATTTCAAACTGTGCAATGGGTTTGTTGTTTGGTGTGCAAAGTTATGAGAACATTTTACTCATTTGTAGACTTATAGTGATGGAGCTTATTCATATTCCTTCAGGAGTACATTGGAGCATGTGTGGTACTCATAGCAGCTGTCACTTCTATTACCAGTTGCCTGTATAGTAAACTCCCTTCAGGACTTGTAGGCTTGGGACTAACCTATGCTCTTATGGTAAGAATCTCAGGACTCTTTCTGTCTCTCCCAAACATTTTTTTGTAATTCTTCAGGGCACAAAGATGAACAGGAAGATCGAAGGTGTCTGTACATCTATAGTGGGTACTGTAACATCACTGAAACCATGTGTTAACTTCAGTTCACATTCAGTGCTTGACATATTTGAGTGTATGCTTTCTTCAGTTTTTAGATATAATATTTTTTTGAAGTATTAGTTCAAATATGTCAACAAAACATGGCCAAGTTGCATCATATCTTTTTATATTGTCTTCCATTGTGAAGAATATTTTTTCAGTGCATCAGTTGTAATTATGCCCCAGTACATCATTCTGGACTGTCAAACCTTAAGTTACCAAGATGATGTCTTTTCACCTGTCTTTGCTGTTCCCCTCCCTCTTTCGTGTCGGTGTAGATCAGATCTCCATAGTAGCAAAGTATCTGTGCACTGCAGTTAGGAAATTTAACCTTTAGCCATTGTTGTCACCCTGTGGATGTGTACTGTACAGTTCATTCACAGCTTCAGCTTATTAAGGCTGAACAAGTGTTACTGTGGAGGAGTATAAACTGCATGCTGGTCAAATGATGCAAACTACTTAAAATATGGAATTTAGTAGTGTATTTGCTTTACATCAGGTGTCTAACTATCTGAACTGGATGGTTCGTAACCTGGCTGACATGGAGATCCAGCTGGGTGCAGTGAAAAGAATCAATGGCCTTCTCAAAACAGAAGCTGAAAATTACGAAGGGCTCCTTTGTAAGTGCAGTTTTGTGCAGCATGCAGAAAGAGCTTGCTGAAATGTTAATGATTTTACAGTGTATTACCATGAAAAATGTAGTAAATCACTTAATGAGCTGATGAATTTATTATTAGAGGGCTGGTGGTTTGTTTTTTTTTTCCCTGTGCTCTTGGTACAGCTTCCTCACAGATTCCCCAGAACTGGCCAGACAGAGGAGAGATCCAAATCCAGAACCTCAGTGTCCGATACGACAGCAACCTAAAGCCAGTGCTAAAGCATGTCAATGCCCACATCTCTCCAGGACAGAAGGTAAAGAACTGTAGTGATCCTGAGAAGCTTTTTATAGACTACCACATCATAGAAATCAGAGTTGAAAAAACATACCACAGTATGTTTTGATGACTGAATTACAGAATTTTTGCTCCAAAAGCATGTAGTGCACTGGAAAGAAGTCTATGGCTTTCTTAGTTTGGAGTGTTTAGGCATACAGTAGAGTGAGAAGTTAGAACTACACACCACTTCTCAGTATCCCAGTGCCCTGCCGTCAGCATGCAGTGCCAAAAGCGGTGACAGTGATCCTTGACTGTGTTAGACCTACTTTCCTTCATTCCCGTGTGGCGCTCTTGCCTTTATTCCCATCATTTCTGCTTCATGGCATCTCTTTTCTCTGTTTTTCTCCTCCTTAGTCCCATTTGCTTTTGTCTTTTCTGCTAAACAAGGCCACCTCAGGGTCCTGCATTTTGCCTGCAGCACTGCCTAGCCCTCCTTCTGCCCCTCTGTCCCTATCCTATTGTTCCTGTGTATAGACCTGTCCTTCGTTTATCCCCAAATGCTCAGACCCTTGAAGACAAAGAGGGAATTTAGGGGCTTTGTTATGGCCAGTTCAGTTTGGCTGAACTGCCAGAAGGCCACAGGGATCAGAACAGCTCCTCCATCACTCATCTTAAGAGTCAAATACAGACACTATCCATGTCTGCTCACCTGATGTTGATCTGCTTTCTGTGTCACAGATCGGGATCTGCGGCCGAACAGGCAGTGGAAAATCCTCTTTCTCTCTTGCATTTTTCAGAATGGTTGACACTTTTGAGGGTAAGATTACACTTTTTCATATCAGTCAAGCTTAGCTCCTGACGATGCTGTGATAGTCCTTTCCTCAACAGCAGCACCTTTGAAGTTTGATTTTTGAATCTGCAGGACACACTCTCTGGCCTTGTTTAAATGCAATGTCATCTGTCACCTAACAGCTGTGCCATTAATAAGCTGGATCAATAAAAATTCTACTTGACAGAAGCAAAAGTCCTTTTGTGCTGTTAAATCACAACAGTAAGAGCAAACCATAAAAGTGGGAGGCGTTCAAGTACAAGGAAGGATCCATGCACAAGGCACATATAGGGCTCACTGGGCCCGGAAAACTCAGCAACTGGGGATTGCAGTTTGGCCTGCTGCCCTGGAATTTCCTGCCGTATTTCCTGCTCTGTGTGCCATGTCCATGTACCTCATGGAGTGTCTTCCTGTGCATCTCAGAAAATTTTAGCCTCAGTTTCCCAGCCACATCACCCACAGGACTCTTATGCGGAGCCAGACAGTTGTACCTGGAAATAAAATTTCAAAGTTCTCAATAACAATTTGGCTTTCTGAAACACTTGTTCCTCTTGGTAACTAGTCCCTGGTTCAAGTAACTTGTTGTTCGATAGATGTGTATAATGGTCAAGCAGACAAGTAGTGTGTCCAATCAGTCATAAAAGATTACAGGTACACTTTATGTTCTTCCCAGCTGAGGCATAGTCTCAAGACAGTTGTGCTTGCTGCTTAACCAAAACTTGTCTCGTCAGTAAGGGGATATGCAGTTCAAGGCTTGTTCCTGCTGTGCTGATTGCGAGCTGAAAGTGAGCCGTGCCTTTGCCAGCAGCTGTGTGGCATGGTGAACAGACTAGCTGACTATCCGTTTTCTTTTGAATAGGAAGGATTATCATTGATGGTATAGATATTGCTAAGCTCCCCTTACAGACATTGAGATCCAGGCTGTCAATCATTCTCCAAGATCCTATTTTATTCAGCGGAACAATCCGGTAAGCATTAAGCACCAGTAATAAAAAGCATAGAGTGACTTATTTGCCATGATATAATTATACCATATAGTGACTCTTACAGAATTGCTGATGGCAAACTGTTCAATTCCGGTGTCCTCAGTTGGAGCAGGGGGATCCCTGCCTCCTGCCTGTGCTTTTTCCCCACGCCTGCCAGATGGCACCTTCCCAGTGCCCGAGCCTGGGCAGCACCAAGGCATTCCCTGCCTGGGAAGTAGGGAAAGTCACTTAGTGATTCCTTCAGGATTGAGTAACTGGTTTAGCTCACTGATCCCATAACCACTCAGCACTTCTTGAAACCTTCTTTCTCCTGCATCTGTTTCCATCTGTCTGCCTTAAAAAATGAGATGGAAAAAATGCAGACTAAAAAACTGATGTAGAAAAAGGGGAAGCAATATAACAACGTGAGAAGTACTAGGGGAGGTCTGGGGTATTTTATCCTGGAGCCTCTATCCGTGCTGATTTTCTAGTCTTGGAGACGTTTCTTCTTCTGTAAGAACAAATGCCTTGGTTTTTTTTTCACCCCCCTCTTTCTCTGAGAGGATGATGCAGTAGAAACAGTGGCAAAAAGCTCCACAGTTTCAGACAAATGTCCTTCCCTATGTCTGTGGTATTTACCTTAGAAAGGAACAGTACAAGCCTCAGTGCAGAGTTAGATCACCTGCAGTTACAGTTTCTACATAAAAGTCATCAGAGTTCACTGAAAATGATACAGGCTTCTGTGGTTCGCTGACTCCATACTAATACAGATGCCAGGATTATCTCCTGAACTTGCCTGAATAGAGCATGGTTCATTCATGTCAGAAGATGAGATGACTCTATACCTTTGTTTCATTAACCTATTAAAAAATTTATTTAGGCCAGCATCATTCACAGCACGCACAGTAGGAATAAAAAGTAAAACCAAAAAGTATTACGCACCATTGAATCATTTATTTCTGATTCTCATTCTATACACTAAGATGATATGAGATTCACATTTGTTGCTATTATTTCTGGGCTACAGCAAGCTAAAATAACATTCATCTGTCATAAATCCAAGATTTGTTCAGTTGTAGTGAAGACTTGCATTTCATAATTCAGTATTAATCTTGATTGTTCTGTTCAACATTCCTATAGCAGTAAAGAACAGACACACATTGGATTTAAAAGGAGAGATGGTAGAATTTTGGCTTCGTTAAAAAATGAATGTTAATTTCAACTGATTATATTCACAGGTTTTTTTCTTCAGAGCTTTTTCTAATAAAACATAAGAATTTCTCTACTTTATTCAGAACAAAATAAATTCTAAAACCACAAAGGTCTGCAAAATAGAAAGCTTTTACTGTTAGGCTCAACTTGAAAGAGTGTTCTTAATCTTACTGGGATAAATGTTAGCCAAGTCCACAGAATGCCATAGATTTATACCAATGATAGATCAGAATCAGGCTCACCCAGATCTTTAACATATGATTCTGATTACGTGCAAGTTTGTTTCTAAGAACACTAAAAGAAGTAGTACGTTGCAGAAGTTTATATTGACTGATATTCTTGAATTACACATAACTGTAGGTTTAACTTGGACCCTGAGAAGAAGTGCACTGACAGCATGCTGTGGGAAGCACTGGAAATAGCACAGCTCAAGCATGTGGTGAAAGCGCTCCCTGGGGGCCTAGGTAACAAGACTTCCTTCTCGAGAAGATTCCTTCCAGTGTTCATAACAGTCCTGTTTCACATTTACTGTGTATTCAAAAGGTAGCTGCTGGAGAAAAAGCTTTTTAGGTTTATGGAAGGTGACAAAAAGTGCTTGCCAGCAGGCAAAGGCCCTGCATTCACCTAACTCCCTTACCAACTGCACCAGCAGGGCAGAATCATCTTTCTATTCAAATCAGTGGCAAAATTATTGTATTGCAATATGTCTTTGTAATGAAGCACTGAGGTTTACAGGCCTTGTGAATTCATATAAGGTGTCAAGAAGTCAGGTGTTACCTAGAATATGTTCTTTTGTATTTTCCAATAGTTGTGTCCAGGAAGGAAGATTTCAGAAACTTAAAGGTGTGAATCATTTGGCCATGAAAAAAAAGAACCAAACAAACCCAAACCAAAAAAAAACCCAACACATTAAAAAAAACCCACAAAAAAAAAAAAAAATCAAAAAACAACACACCATAAAAATGGTTATACAGCCTTAGGGTGAAGGAATGGTGGATGCCACTTTGACAGGGGGTGCAGTGTCCTAGACTGCATGACTGCGTATGTTCCAGAGCCACTTGCTCTTAAACATCCTTAGCTACTTTGTCTAATAGATGTAAAGAATATCATGAGACAGAAGTGCTTGTTGTTTTGAACATTGGATATAAACAGGCAAAATTGGGTCACCAGCAGCTGCAGCCGTAGGAAATGTTACTTTGAAAATCCTTATGCTGAAAGTGAGACATTATTTTCCAAGCAGCTGCTCCACTCTGATCTGACCCTCTCATACACACACACACACAGGCGCACACCCCATAATAGCGGTTTTGCTCTATCATTTCCAGATGCTATAGTCACAGAAGGAGGTGAAAACTTTAGCCAGGGCCAGAGACAGCTGTTCTGCCTAGCAAGGGCTTTTGTGCGGAAGACGAGCATCTTCATCATGGATGAAGCCACGGCATCTATTGACATGGCAACGGTGAGTTTGGAGTGTTTCTGATTTCTTGTCTTTCTTGAGGGGAAGACAACTGCAGTTCTGTCTACTCTATAATATGGTTACACCATATTTAGTGCAGACGTGTTTACAGTCCAGGGAGTTGTGACTCATTGCTAACTGATCTAAAGAGCTTTTAAATGGTTTTATTGGGGGGTTAATATTTATTCCAGCATTGCTTGCATTAGGAAAATGAAGCATGTTATTTTCATTGGTGGTTTGATTTCCTAAAGTAAACAATGCTTTGAAAGGTCAGCTGGGGTGGGCAGTGAAGGGTAAATTGGCAAACAGGCAAATTTCCCCCACATGGTGGACAGGACAAGTCAGGAAGTTAGAAGGTTTGAAAGTAGAATCGAGGAAATAATCAGAGACCTAGAAAAGACATAGTGGATTATTGCATTAATTGTCTGAAATTGCTAGACAGAGGTTAAACCACACACTAATAGTGCACTGTCTGGATTTTAGCCAAATAGAACAGTACATTCTTAAGATTTTTTTGTTTCCCTCTGTTTTGAGAAATGTCGTCTTCATGATTATTCTATGAGTAAAGAATATAATGGGAAGGTTTTATCATAACAGGTACAATTTTTAGTGTGCTGGGTGTCAATAAGGTTGAGAATTAGACTGTACGCAGCCCAGTTAAAACACACATTTTGAATTTTGATGCATTGAGGATATAGTTTCTCCTTGAGGTACATATCTAAAGAACAGATAAGAGCAAAGAAAGGCATCTGTGCTAGAGACATTTCTACAGTTTGGTACAGAACGTTTCCTAAATAGCAAGGGATGAGTACTTGTTGAGTGAGAACTATGTATGTTAAGACCATCTTAAATATCATCTGGGCTGTTAAATACCCAGGTGCAGCACACTGCCTTGCTTATCCCTGCCCCCCTTGGTGTTAGATGTCCCCAGTGCGTGGGGACACTCCCAGGCTCCAGTAGGGTGAGGAACACACGGCAGAGGCACCAACATGCAGGCAGGACAGCCTGGCAGGACCCCAGATTGACCTTCCATCCCTCCACTGTAAAACCAAGGTCAGGATCAGAGGGGCTTGGGGCAGGGCACCAAAAGCCAGGGGCTGAGGCTGGCAGGCACGAGCAGGGCTGGATAATGAGACCAGACTCTGGCTTAGTTCTGGCATGTAGTTAACTTTTTCTGCAACAAAGGGTCAGTAAAAGTATGTCAATAAAATCATTTGGTTACTTAAGCCTTCTTAGTGTCTGTGTGTCTATCATGCAACTTCTGTGGTTTGAAAAGCAACTAATGCTTTGCTTTACGCAGGAGAACATCCTCCAGAAGGTAGTCATGACTGCGTTTGCTGACCGTACTGTGGTTACAATAGCAGTAAGTACAGTCTCTGCTGCCGTTCTATTGCAAGCAAGAAGTGCTACATTAGTCAATTCTTGTCAATGTTAAATGTGTTCATTTCGCCATTAATCTTTTTTTTAAATTGATGTCTAAGTGTAAGCTTTCTTTTCCATTTTAAACTGCTTTCTTATTTAAATACATAACAACAGCTTCTTAAATGTGTTGCATGATGCTAAGTCTGATTGCCTGTAAAGGCACGTAATTTAAGTAATCTATTTTCTGTTACCCATTTTAGGCTAATTTAAAATATAATAAGACTTTGACTAATGTGAAATCTAAGACTAAATTTCATCAAGCTATAATAATCCTTTAAATAAGGACAAGTAAAATTGTGTAATAGTTCTGCCACTGGATAAAGCAATTACATTTCAGAATTTAAACAAATAAATGAAAATCATAGTAAGTTTGAAAAATAAACATTCCATCCCTGTTGACAGTGATTGAATTTAAGCTTGCATATTCTTGAAGTGATTGTACAAAGATCTTGAGTATAAAAAAAAAAGGTTTATGAAAGAGATTTGACCTGAATCAAAGCAGCTGGCTCAACAGATATGTCAGAAGTAATACATATCTTTTAGTCCTCTATTTTCTAAAAATACACCTATTTCAGGGATATGCCAGAGTATTCTGAAATTAAATATCTCTGCAGGAGTAATACAGACCCAAAATTCCAATGCAGTGAGTCAACTTTAAATAGTGGAATTCCATAAAATTGAGGAGGCTTGCAAAAAACAAAACTTAGAAATAAATGGGGGGGAAAAAAGCTAAAAGAGAAAGTGAAGAAAATGGAATCTGATAGGTATTGTGGAAATTACTGAAGGATTTTATTCAAAAATCCCAGGGCTATTTGTTAGGAAAGGCTTGAGTAAGGATAGAAAGAAGCTCGTATGGCTAAACAAATAAATACTATTTGAAACAACAAGGCATTCTTGTAGATCTGAACTTCCAGACAAATAAAGAAAACAGAAATGATCATAAGTTCTGGCATATTACATGTGAAAATGCAATAAAGCAGGGGGAAAAAAAAAAGAAGTATGAGAGCAGCTTTTGGAAGCCATCAAAACTGATAAGGAACCCCTGAATCCATGAAACATACCAGGAGTAAGAAGTCTGTCAATCTATAGGGCCATTTGGTGATCAATACCTGAAAAGAAAGCTCAGGAAAGATAACAGCACTGCAGAAAATCTAAATTAATTATTTCCAGTATGCACTGTGGAAAGAACTGGGGAAGTTTCTTCCCATTAAAACAATCACATGTTAGGGCTTACTAGGAAAAGGGTGGAGAACCAAAAAGAAAACATCATACCATCATATAAGTCCATAATTTGCACATACCTTGAAGATTTTGTGTACATTGCACGTACATTACACCTGAGAAATGTTGAGAAGCACGAGGATGATCTGAGGCTTAGAACTGCCCCTTGAGGGGAGCAGCTGAGTAGGCTAGGCCTCTTCTGCCTGCAGAGAGTAAGGACGTGTGAGAGAGGTCTGCAAAATGATGAGGCAAGGGGGAAGAGGCATCAGATGAATCTCTGAGCAGCGAGTCCCAGAGCATATGAAAGGGGGTACTTGTTCATGCAGTAGCGAGCAGGCCTGGAAAAATCTTTCCCAAGGGATGTGGATGCAAAACGTTTGTGAGAGCTCAAGAGAAGACACAGGCAAGGTCCTAGAGGAGGGACCTATTCAGTTTGACAAAGACAAACCACAGCAATCTCAGGGACACCCCTGATGCAGAGGCAGTCCAGGGCTGGGAGAATACTCACTGGCATGCCCTGTCCCCACTCTTCCCAGCTGCCTTCCCATGGCACCATGCAGTGGCAGGGCTGCTGGCCCGGACAGCACAGTCTGGACTCGGGTGACTCTTCATACTCGAGGACCTGTGTGCAGTTTAGGTACTTGAATATCCACGTGGCTCTGGGCCTGTATATTTATCTGCAGTATTTGCACAGTAAATTAGGATGAGAAGTAGGTTAAGTAGCCTTAATCAAACTTGAAATTGTCAGGAAAATTAATTTCTAGAAGTCTGTCTTACCCTGGACTATGTCTGATAGACTGAAGTGGCATTTTGTATTATTTGCTTTCCAGCACCGCGTGCACACGATCCTCAACGCAGACTTGGTTATTGTAATGAAGAGAGGGGTTATTTTGGAATATGACAAGCCTGAGGTTCTGCTAGAACAAGAAGACAGTGTCTTTGCTTCTTTTGTACAAGCAGATAAGTAATAAAAATAAATGAAGCATTTTAAAGTACAATTGTATTATTTTCTAAAAATGTAAAATACCTGTAAATAAATAATATTTCATAATAAATCGAGGTTTTCCTTTTTTAATAAAATGGGCCATTTTTCTCCACCTGAAGCATGTACTTTCCTTTTTGTATACTACTACTCTTGTTCTTATTTGCTACCAAAGAATTATGAAATATAGTTGAAAAAAACTACATGGGTGAAATATGACAGGATACTCATCAAACATAACCAGCATGGAGTTTTTATGTAACTCTTAAACTGCTCCTGTCATTTTATTAACATGTTATTTTTTATGCGTCAGAGCCCCTCTGTAGATAATGCTCATGGCTGACTAAATGCAAAAGGAAAAATTATATACCAAAGGTATTTCTCAAAAGCTTGTATCTCTTTTAATGATATGACTCTGTAAAGCTTTAATATCTAAATATAAAATCTATAAACCCTTTTTTTTATTTTGTGGTTTATTGATCATTCCTGTGTCTCTTGGTCTCTCCTTAATACTTTTTAGAAATTAATCACAAGCCAGTTCCTTTAGTGTTTCTTAGGCTGCTTCACCTCTACCCCCATTGAATCACTGTATTGCACTGATTCCAAACGGGACTGAGCCCAGCTCCCTCCCGCACTGTGAGGAAGCGAAGAGGAAGCAGGTTGTGACAAAATACCAGTGTTTAATGCGCACTGTTTCCAGAGCATGACAGACGTACACATTTGTCTGGAAATTATCCCTCCAGATCTGGTAAATAAACAGCATTAAACCTTTCATTGTATCTCAGAGCCATGAGAGCTTGACTCATTGTCTCCTAGTTTCATGTCTTTCGCCCACTGTCACACTTTTTCTAGATTCACTGTGATCTTTACCAATGAATTATATATACTTATTAAGATAACCTGCAATCACTGAAATTATCCTAATCCAACTGAAGAACTCCTTAGCCCTGCCCTATGGATTCATTGTGACAATCGTGCCAGGATTGATTTGCTAAGGGGTTAGAATGCCAAAGACTGAGTGGAAGGCCACAACGAATTTTTCAACATTATTCTTTCTATAGCAACTTTGGCTTTACATCGATTTTTGTCCCCTTCTCCTTTTTGAAGAATTCCTAGTACTTGGGAAAACCCTTTTTAAAATCTCTTTAGCTTGCTCAATTAATTTGCGATCTGTTTTTTAAAGGCTTTATTTTCTAGAAAAAGACATCTCAGTGTTCTCATGGGATATGTGATATTTTTAATGCATTACTTCTAGCACTGCAGCAGGGAACAACGAAAACTGAAGAACTGTTGTTGCTGTTTAAGTAGTGCTACCAGTTCCACAGACGAGTATTTACAGCATCTGCCTGCTGTTATTTGTGTGATATCTAAGGGCATTAAACTGGTGCCAGAGAACATAACCAAGGGGAGAGTGGAGCGTGAGCAACAGCAAAGGTGGTGCAGATGACAGAGCATGAGCTCTGCCCTTGCCAGCTACAGATGAAGAAAGAAAATGGACAGGTGGGAGATACCGCCTCTTCCAGGGAATCATTTTGCTGGGCAGCTTCAAAGGGAGAACAGCTGCAGAATTATTCACCCTGGGCTGCCAGGCATCTGTTGAGGCTGAGAGAGGAGGAAGGGGAGCCAGGTGCCTGTCCTTCCAGGGTAGCAGAAGGGCACAGTGTGCACAGGGCAGGTTTCTCCTACAGCTCCTGCCCCTGCTGTGGCCTAGCTGCCCAGCACTGGTCGAGGGCAGGATCTCATCCCATAAAACATCACTGCACAGGGCATCACAAACTCATGCTGCAGAGAGAAGCTTTGTAACCCTCTGTGGAAGATCCTAAATCCTAAGGGCAAGAGGAGAGGTACAGAGAAGTGAGGTTTCATATGCTTTTAATAAATTGCTTGGGATTTGACACTGCAGTTTGGACTAGCTCCTCTTCCACAAGCTTGACAACCTTACCTGGAAAAGAATGCAAGGGAGTGAAGGACACAGCATGTCACTAAGAGACTATATTATATCTTAAGGAATCTATATCTATATATATCTTAAGAAATAAGACCTCAAAGTGTCATGTGTTTCCATCATAAATGGGGCTCATATTTCACAAAGCAGCATTGCAGGAGAGTAGGGCGAGTTGGTTCACATCCAGTGATTAATAGTACCACACTGCTGGATAAATACGTGTGAACAGGGAGGCCTCTCAGCTACCACTTGGACAGAACACACTTCACCATTCCTCAGCACATTTTATCTACTCTTGTTCATATGGGGGTCAAGTCTGAGGGGCTTTCTGTCCCCTAACCCCAAAGGGTTAGAGTCTCAGCAGTGACCAGAAGCTGTGTCAAAGAAAATTATTCTATGGTGGGAGGCTCACTGCCATTATCTGAGTGATTAAACCTGTTGCCTCAAGAGAGGCGTTTCGGAAGGCGCCAGTTCAACCAGGCACACAACTGTATTCTGCATGGCAGTGAAGCACTGCTAAGCAAAGTGCTGTACTCAGATGGGTGCAAGACAGCCCCAGAGCAGCCAGGTGAAGCTGCTGAGGGGAGCTGCCATGTCCAGACTTACATTTCTCCTCCGGGATGGGACGCAGCTCAGTCCCAATGGTGTTAGTGGGATAGCATGCCCACAGAGGTGCAGCCAGGGTCTGGTTTATTTTGTTTGCTTTCTATAAATGTTCCTATTATACAAAAACCCTTACAGCATTGACCCCCTTGTCTTAGCATGGCCATTTCATCCTGTTCTAGGGGGACGCTATTTCCTCGGAAGGCCGGGGAGCACAGCGTGCTGCTGCCTTAGCCAGCTCTGCTCACGCCTTCCCCTGCAGCTCTGCATAACCACCTCCCACCTCTTCTCTTCTGCCTCCCCCCTTGTACAGCAAGGGCAGGCGGGAGGTTTAATTGATGTTAGGCTAGCACTGGGTAGCCTTTGAAAGAAAGGTCTACTCTCTTCCAAAGGCAGAGTAATACCATAGTGCCAACTACATTTTAATCTAACAGTTATACTATCTTCTTCGAGAGCCTTAAAATTAAGGGGAAGGGGGAAGGGCGTGGAGTTTTGAAATGTAAAACCTATTTTGTGGGTAGAAAAACTTACTCCTCATGATTCAGTACAGCAGAGTGGGATTGTTCATTCCTGTGAACCCAACTTGTGCAGCAGCTCTTAACACAAATATGTTGGCTCACTCAGAAGATCTGTCACTTTTTTCTTTTAAGTATCTGTCAGTTGATCCACAAAGACAGGGCTTCTCTTTACTCTGCTTTAGAAATTCTTTAGTAGAAGCCACTTGCTTTGCTGTCCCATCTCAGCCAACAAGTGCTCAGAGGTGAAGGAAAAGAAGTGGCAAATGACAGTCCCAATAAAGAACAGAAGTGGAAACAAGGAAACACCCTTCTTGCTCTCCGAAGCCCAGGATTCCTAAAACCAACACCCATTGCTGTAGCAGGCTCCGTGGGTCATTCCTAGCACCAGACTGTGAAGAAATTTACCTTTCTCTTTTAAAACACTCCTTGCTGGCACGCTTTGTTTGGGTTGTTTGTTTTTGGTTTTTTTTAATTCTACATTCATGTAGTTACCGCCCTCTGGAGGAAAAAGTACAGAATAAGACAACGGTTAGAAAAGAGTAAGGGAAAATGGCACGAAAGGCATGACTGCCTCTTGAATAGGTCTGTCTCTGCAAAAGAGTGGGAGATACCAGTGTATGAGGTACCCATGTACATTATCTGCAAAAGAGTGTTACCAGTGAACTGCATGGTGGTGCAGAGCCTCTTCATGCTCACTTCAAAATGCTGGAAGTTGCTGTGAGCTCCCATCAACTATAAGCTCCCATGAGCACCACGCCTTTGACAAGTAAATCTTCAAATTGCTTGATCCATTTGGGTTTTTTTCAAATGCTTAGAAAGAAAAGTATAAAAAATAAACATTTCTTAAAAGTTAAATTGTATATATAAACCATGTACTTAAAGTGTAGGTGCAGGTGACATATTCGAGCATGCACACAAAAAATGTCTAGCAGAGAAAGCGATACAAGGAAAGGGGAGGTATGTTGGCTAAACAATGGCCTGGCAGCCAGATGCCAGCACACCCTGTGGTCATATTAGTTTTATTTATCAAAGCGGCAAGAAAGACAACCCAGAACAGGAGAAATTGTGGAGTGTTTGGGATGGAATTCCATGTGTCCAAGGACATGCAACTATTTGTACATAGAAAGTAGAAATAGTCTAAAGGAACAGTAATCGTTTCATTACAAGACTTATAATGACTGCTCAGAGAGCTCATACTTAAAACTACGATTCTGAAATCCTTAGGTGGGCCACAGTAAGTAGTTGTAGGTGGTGAAAGTTAATTTCAAGCCCAACTGGCTGGCTCCCAACCATCAACCAGGCAATCCCTGCCAACAACTGCTGTGCCATGGCACTCGGAGCCAAAACTGGAGGGGAAGTCCATGGACACATACAACTTGAAACACATAATCATAAACCCACTGGCACTGAAGAAAAACCTGTTATCCAGATATCCTGGGATGCTTTAGCAACTCTACCATTTTGGTGCCTAAACTGAAATAGAAACACAATATTTAAATCAGAGTAAGTGAACACATGAATGAGAATATTGCTGTTGAAACAACGGAGCAATCATATCGGAGTGTTTTTTAAAAATGTCTCTTACCACAAAGGAACACCCTTAGACCCACGTCACAGACATCATACCCCCAACACACAGGTTCTAGCCTCCTGTCTCCTTTTGGTGCCTCTTCTGGTGATTTTGATGCCTGCCTGGAAGTTCATGTCACCCTGGGTTAACCATTTGCAGCCGGATCCTTGTTCTGCAACTTTTACTGTTATTTGGGCAGTAGATGTTCTCCTGTGCACTCAGCGGCTGTTACAGAGCATGTCATTTCAGAAGCAAGTTCTTTCAGACAAATCCTTCCCTACTCAAGGGTAAATAGCAAATTTTGTAAGCGCAAACGACCCCCTCTTAATTCCAGGTCTCAGTTTAACCATTATGGTCTTGGACCTGGCCTCTTCAAGCACATTTCCTACCACTGCCTGCCCGATTCATCAGACAAATGCTTTCCTCCTGCTTACAGGAAGATGCGCAGGTGAATTTCAGGATTTTAAATTTTTTTTCATTCAAGATTTCCTTTAAAAGCATCCCCAGCACCATTTTGTTTTCTATTTGACGGAATAATTGCCCGGCTTGAAACCACACCACCCTGCAAACCTGGCTGTTAATGGGAAGCCTGGCAGTAAATCCATCCTCGAACAAATATTTACAGAAAATCCGCTGTGAGGAAAGGGGGCTGCTCACACCACCGCGGCCTGAAATGCCACCTCCCCTTTCTTTAGGGGGGAAAAAAAAAAAATAAATAATCAAAAACTGAGGTAAAAAGGTAAAGAAAAGCAGCCAGCTCTCACCGGGGAGCACTCGGGGGCTCGGCTCCCCCCTTCCCTTCCCACAGGGCGA